ATATACATCTTGAAAATTATTCTGAGAATTAAATAAGAATATGAAAAGCAGCTAGTACACTGAGTGACACAAAACAGAAACTTCATAAAAAGCAGTCCTATGTGAAACAATCTAAATCTAAAGAGGAGATAAGCAATTATACTGTAATGAATGATTTTTGGCAGACACATTCATATCCTTACTTTTGCCTTTTATTTATTATCAATTTAGAAATCTGTTCTTTTTTCTCCCACATTAGAACAATGGATATAATGCCAAAGTCAGCACTTTCTATTTATCTCTTAAAACCCTACATAAAATATTCTATTTCTCTTATAAACTTTGCTGCTAATGGCTCTCAAGAAATCTTATAATTACACTCCATAGTACTTCTCACAGTTGAAATTAAGTACTACTATGATCATCCACTTAATTTCTAACTTTTCCACTAGATTGAAGTTCCATAAGAATCTTAAGTCTTGCCTAAGTATCTTCATTACCTTGCATCACAGACATTCAATAAATAATTGCTGGGTGAAAAACTGAGTGATTCCAAAATCTCATCTTGCATCCTCAATGATTCAACCAATTTTGCTACTGGATTTTTCCAAACAATGTCAGATCCCACTTGGAAAACTGCCTTAAACTCACTCTATCAATATAATCCAAACAAAACTAGAACATTTCCTCCCCCTTTGCCAAACCCTTTTTGCACTCCCAACTATCCTCTGAACACTAAGATTTAAAACCAAGCAGCTAAAAAATAATACGAATAGTTTTTCTCTGTTCCATCAATCTGTATCTGAAGAATGAGTGTAATCCATGACATCAATGGCTCAAAACATATCTTCATAACCTCGGTTGAAATTGCTGCTATAGAGTCTAAAATTTTGCTTGTGTTTCCTATCTCTCCCCTCCATTATTAGCTTATTTTTATTAAAAAGGTCAGATCCATCCCAATTCTAGTCAATTCTAGTACCTTCATAAATATAAAGCCTGTTATGAATAAACATTAATTAATCCTCAACATCATGATAATAGTACATTTTAAATTACATGTAATATCCATTTCTGGCTAAAATGAAACAGACCAACACCTCTGTTAGCAACTAAAATAGCCTGGGAAAAGGAAAAGGCATCAAAGAATTGCTAAGCTAACTGGGACTTGAAGGGCCAAAGTCCTAAAAAAGAGAAGTAAGCCAACACTCTGAAGCCATTTTCCCCTGAGCATATTTATCAATTCTGGGCACAGGGCAAGAAGAGAATGATCTGGGCAAAGGGCCCAGACAGAGAGTGCTATGAAGTAGCCAAAAAAATAGAAAAAGAAGCAAACAAACAAGAAAACTAGCAGCATTTTTGGCAATCTCTTGAGGACAGGGATAAAAATAACGGACTTGAAGGGTCAGAATGTGGTAAAATGGTAGGACCAGAGAACTTGGCCTCATATTCTGCCAATTTTCCCTCAAAACTTCTGATCAATCCTTAAAACTATAGGAGACAAGAGGGTAATAAGCCAAACTGAAAAACAAAGGAAAATATTTAGAAAGCTCATGATACTCAGGAGAGATTAATTAGAATTAGAGTCTGTGTGTGGGACAAAGTCCAAATGAATACCCCTGACATCTCAGTGAGAACCCTTGAAGAGATACTCTTAAAAGCAAGGCAGACAAGAGGTAGGTGGAGCCTTGCCAAAAATGGTCTCTAATTGAGAGGTAAATTGGTCTTGTGGAGAAACAGAGTATAGAGTTTAGAATCTACCAAGAGAGAAATCACAATGAATATACCTGGCTTTTGCTTGAAACGGGAGAAGGAGAAGAGATTGACCCTGTGGAAATAATAAACTGCTCCGAACTCATGGGCCCCATGGCAGTCATCCCCAACTCTATCTTCCCAGCAAAGGAAAAGGGAAACCCACTATGGGGGAGGGGAACAGTAGCAAATGGAGCCTCTCAACATTTTTATGTGCACTAACACTGAATAAAAACTTATTAGGTATAGTACGGCAGCCTGAATAAACAAGGGCAAACACTGAAAAAGTGCCAATAGGAGAAAGTGATCAAAGATTCATTAACTAAAATGTCCCCAAATTAACCTACTTCCCTCATTCCTCTTTTACCAGTTTCTTGCGAAAGAATAAGTAGTTGCCTTATTGAACTGAGACAAGATTTTAAGCAAAAGCAAAAATAAAAAATAAAAAGAAGGCAACACATTAACACGTTTGAGTTCCAAGCAATCAGGAAAATTCAACAGCATGGAATATAAATTTCTCCACTTTATTTTTAAAAATCAATTAACAAGTTCACTGGTCGGGGAGAGGTTCCAGTGGGAGACGCAGAAATCTAGAGAGGCATTGAGGGAAGATGGTAAGTCGCCAGCAGAACGTGACCCGTAGGACTCTGAAGTTTAAAGAAACTACACATAGGTAATAGGAATAGGTAAAAATATAAAACCAGTTATAGGCCTATAAGTCAGCCTGTGGTTGTTCAAGAAAATGGATGAGCAAGAGGTGCATTCTTTACTTCATTAAACACATGACTACTTCTGTTCCTCAAACCATTTTTAAGAGATTCCAGCAGCTAAATTCAGTTACAGAAACAGTTTCTGTAGGTCCAGATTTCCACTCAAGAAATTTCTACAGGAATGTGTTTTGAGGCCCCATATCAAATATATAAACTTTTAAATGTATTGGTTAATAGCTGACTCAATTAAGGGTGTTAAAAGCAGAAAACTAGTCTATCAAAAAGAAAAAGAGATTAAAAAAAACAGAAAGAGAATTTAATGCAGTAATTAGAGCTATTCAAAATTAAAGAGATTCTCTCATCAGAGTACTTGGCATCATAACAAATTTAAGAGGGTCCTGATAACACTCTAGAAATAAATACATGGAAAGCATCAAGATGTGTCATGCCCAACATAACTGAAAACATGTGTAGAACCAATGCCTTCCAATTAGAGAACTCTGGTAGAGTTGTTTTGATTTTAGTGGGGGAGTGGGTGAAACTTGTTTGAGATGATGAAGCCAAGCTTTTTAATACAAAATGTTTGTATGGAACTTGGTAAATATATAAAAAATCTGAAGTCAAACTACAGAGAGGTGGCAGATGAATGGAGAAGACTGATTAATCTCTTTGAGGGGAAAAAAAAACAAGGACCACAAAGGATCATTCACATTTTGGACATGGAAGAAAAATCTGAGCCAGACTGAAAATAATTTTTTAAAAAGGAGAGAGAGAAAGAGACAAAGAAGTATCCAGGATGGTCATAAAAGACAAAAAGAATTTTAAGAAGGAAACACTGGCTAAAAGTATCAAATACTAGAAAAAGTCAAGAACAAAGACCAGACTTGTCCAAAGGACATAAATGTCAACTTTCGTAAATGCAATTTTTTAAAAATATATTTATTTAGTTAGTTATAGTTGGACACAATGCCTTTATTTTATTTATTTATTTTTATGTGGTGCTGAGGATCAAACCCAGGGCCTCGTGAGCGCTCTACTGCTGAGCCACAACCCCAGCCCTCATAAATGCAATTTCACTGAGAATGTCAGAATAAAAGTCAGGCTGTAAGAGATCAGAGACAATTAGATCTTTTTATTTTAAATACCACTTGTTCCAAAAAGAATTCCAGGAACTTTACAAGAAACAACAGAAAAATAGCAGAACAGAAAATAATATTTGCATACAGAAAGATAGATCATATATCCAGCAAGGCTCTACAGTGGGCCAAAAACTTGATCTTGAGCATCCTAGGGGCCATGTCAAAAACAGCTTAATTAAAGTATTCATATTGTTCATTAAATAAAAGATCAGATATTCAGAAGTATGACTTCTCTAACATCAAAACGGAAGAAAACTTTCATAGTTTCTCATGAAGACAATGCTGAAATATAAAAAGCAAGACCACCAAACAAAATCCCAAATGCAATTCACAGTACTGTTTCATTTTTCATTCCTTAATGCCAATCAATGTCATCCTCAAAAGTAACTACATACGAGACCAAAATCATGATGTTCAGTTCTAAGATCCAATTTGGAAAACATATACAGTAACTATTAAACAAACTTTAAGCAGTCAATCCATAGTGAAACACTACTAATTGTAATCATGATTTTAAAAAGGTTTCAACAGCTGAAAATTGAAGTTGTACTTTTTAGCAAGAAGTCACTGTTTAACTTCAGGGCTCCTAAGTACAGATTTGCCAACTCTATTAACCAGAAATTTAAGAAGTACTTATAAAAAATTAAAAAGTCTGACTAAAGTATATATATAAAATCTCTGTAATTCTCTGATTACAATGAAACACTTTTTCTAAAATCATATAAAATAAATTCAGCAACTGAAAATCAAGTAAATCACCACAGATCTCTTTTCAGGTGATAGATGAATAAAGTTTTAGCAACTTGCATACCCATCTATTGAACTTGTTTTAAATTTTTTATTCATCTCTTTTTTCAAAAAAGCTACATGATTCTTCTAAATCATACCTGCTAAAATATACTACTCAAATTACAAAAGCACTTAAAAATTCATGTGTGTGTGTGTATACACACACACGGAGTTAAATTTAGAAAGGCCAAACTGTATATTAACCAAAAAATAACTAAAAATATAACTATATACATCTCTCTGTGTATATCTATATCTACATATAACAAAAATATAATAATTTTTTCTCTTTCACATTTATCAGTATCACTTTTCAACCATGGATAATTTACTAACATTTAGAATAATGCTATATGTTCAACAAAAATACTGCTAAATGTTCAATAAAAATATCTATTCGTATAACATCTTACCATGTATATTAAAATGTCATGTTTTCCCAAATTACATTTTGCTTTGCAGGTCAATTTTTTTTAAATACCCCCCCTTTAATTCATAGTAACAATAAAAATCAGATTCTCTGATTACAATAAGACACTTTTTCTAAAATCATATAAAATAAATTGCTAAAATGGAAATATGTTAAATTGAAATGTGTAAAACAAAGAAATTTTTAAAACATATGTAGACATACTTATCCCAACCAAGAGTTCCTATCTCTTCAATAAGGCTTGAATAGAACTGGGGAGGAGGAGGTAGTGCACATAACTCTTGTCTATTCCTTAAAGCAACTTCCTGTTTAAAAACAATAATAATCAGTTGTGGAATGCCAGACAATGAATTGTACCTGATTACAAAACATGAATCATAATCTTCTTAGTGTCTAATAAAAGTGTTCATTATTTTATAGAAAATCTAGGTGACCCATTCCCCTTTACATGAAAAAGTTAAAGGAATACAATAAAGGTCATGCAAAATGTCAATTTTTATACCAAGAAAATAACTTAAGGTTTTAATATTCTCCTGGGCTATTATGCCTATTAGAAAAAAGATTTTAAAAAATACTCATCTTCAAGGCTTCACTATCTTTCTAATTCCATGCATATGATGTTTGATATTAAAAAACCAGGTGCCTTTAAACAAAAGGCTGAACTCTAACTATATTAACTAGATTGATATAAATTACATCTTAACAAACCTGCATTATCACAACAAATACCTACCTGCAAATTTCTTTCATTGACTTGTATTCAGCATTACTCTATAACCTGGTAAGTATGGTATTTTTTTATTCAACTAGCTAGATGACAGTCCCTTTTCCTTGCTAGGCCCACTTATGAAGGCTTTAAAACGGTTTATGAATTAAACTAGAATGTAAACTTTTTACAAGCAATGCAAACAAACCAGAATTGCTGAGGCTAAAAATTACCAGTGACTTTGAAGTTGCCAACCTCAACAAATATCTCATGTGAAAAGTAAAAACATATATAGCTACAATTACTTAAATATTCATATGGTCAGGATTATCAAAAGATATTAAAAGTTGAACACCCTTTATGTGAAAATTCAAAATCACAAATTTTAGTACCGACCTGACACCACAAGTGAAAAATTCCAAACCATAAAACTTTGTTTCAAGCACAAAATTATTAAAACTATTGTCTAAAACTACCTTTAGGCTATGTATATAAGGAATATATTTGAGTCTTTATTTCACTTTATATTTGAGTCTTCTCCCAAAATATTTTACTATGTATATGCAAATATTTCAAAATATGAAAAAATCCAAAATCTGAAATATTTCTTCTCCCAAGCATATCAGATAATGGATGCTCAACCTATATAAAAAAAAAGTCAAAAAAAAAATTAGTCACAATAGCAATAATAGATGAGAACAAGCTGAAAAACTATGAACACTTCTGGTAAACATAACCACAATAAAAATCTGAAAATTTTATTCCTTTAAGTATATGTTTTAGATTAAATATAGATTACTATTTGTCCTTATACTTTTTTCATTTAACAAGGATAGGATATTATTAAGTTGAGGTAATACTAGAAAGAATATATTTTACAAAAGAGAATTTCAGAATTAGAACTATTAACTGAAACTACTTCAATCTAATTCTGAAAAAATTTAGGATGATAAAACCATGAAACCAGATCTGTAAAGCCAAGAAATCAATATGGATTTAGAGGGTAAGCTCCTAAGAGAAAAAACATACACTGCCTTTTTTATGACCTAAATGTCTAATATTATCTAAAAATAGCTTGGTGGGCCACAAAATTAATTTGTATTATTAAGATTATCCTCCACTTGTCACTGAATGAGTTAAAACAGTTCTTTGAATTAACAATTACCCAGTATTTCTTTTGAAGTTTTTTTATTCAGAAATATTAATTACTGAATATCCATAAATATTGAAGGTAAAAATAAACTTGGACAATAAAAATGTATTTCAAACCTAGGTTTATGTCATTTGCCTTCCACTGTGGGTCAGGACAGTTACTCCTACTTTAGAACCTTAATAGAAAATAAGGCAAAGACAGAGAGACAACCACTTTTCACAAAGGGGACAAAGGGACTTGGTAGTGAAGATTTAACATATATACTAAATTGCCACAATATGCCCAGTTATTACTAGGAAATCCATAGGAGATTTACAAAATTTCCTGAATAAGTTCAATAACTACTCATTTCATTTGGGTACCACACTTAAGAACTCCAATGTTGATTATATTCTAGGAATTCTACTACTAACAACACAGCCTAAGAAATAGACTAGTAATTCTTACATATTTAGGTATAATATCTTGAATGAGCAATAAAATCACCTATTTTACTATGATTCATAAATAATGATAAAATATAGGCTCTCATTTTTTATTCAGAAAGGCAGCACAAATATACTAAGTAAAATGCTGGAAATCAGAAATAAATTTTAATATCTCATCTTAAAATGTTTCCTCAAAATGACATGACCAATAGCTCTATTACTTACAACTCAATAAAGTTACTTTTAGTAATAAGAATTTAATAGTGTATATAGTTTTACTCTGGTTCCCTCAGACCCTATATTTGTATAACATTAAAATTATTAAAAAAAAGATAAGAGAAAAATTTCAAACTTTTTTCCAGTGTCAAGGGGATACAAAACAAATATGCTTTACTTCTTCACCTGATCATTTTTAAGGTTATTATATCATGGTCTTTGATGACATTTATAATCAACTTTGGGTTTAAAAATTCATAATTTGAAATTTAATGCAGAAATTAATTTTAATCTCTTTATTCTGACCCCAAGCATTTTTAAGTTCTACCTCAGAGGGTTATTAGAAGGATTTTTTTAAAATGACTCAAAAAAATCTAGCAACTAAGTTTTCAACATGTGGCAATGCTACAAAAAATGAAAAAGTCTCAAAGAAAACCATGAAAAAATATCCAAGTGCTTTCAACTGTTGGAAGCAATATAGGTATTATAATTTTGATATAAGCAAATATAATAATAAACATATATATGGAGAAAAAAACATAACAAGTAAAGCATAACCAAAGAACGTAATAATGCTAATATCATTAGAAACCAATATTTCAAAGTAAAAGACACGCAAGCATAAAAACAAAGAAGTAAAAACTCAATGCCAAATCTGAATTGGAAATAGCAACATTAATAGATAATTAATTGTAATTCTTCTAAAATGTATTTTTCCTAGCTTTGTCCACTGAAAGAGTCTAGAATTAGTAATATCAATGATTACTTCACTTTCCAGTCACAGCAGCCCAATACCATTTCACACATACACACAAAAGAAATCTATGGTTTTGGAGAAATGTCTAATTACAGTTCTAGAGTAAGATGAGTAAATGAAGCTAGAGCATAGGAGGTTTGGTTACATTAAAAGAACTGAGAAGCCAACATGAAGGGGCTTACACCAACCAAAAGTGGGATAATTTAAGCATCAAAAAGAAAATGAGTACAGTGCATAAAAGTTAATCGAATATATAACAACTCATGAGTTCATAATGACACTAAAAAGAAAAATCTTTAGCTCCCTGCAACAGTTGCTAGGCACCAACTCATTATTCTAAAAATTGATCTTAAAAAAAAAAAAAAAAAGGAAACGAAACAAGCACTTATCCTATCTTCTAGTACGAGCTGTACCTCAAATTAACCGAATAACTATTGAGGGTTCTTCTCTTCAGAAGATTTTCAGATAATAAATGCAGATGACAGAATTATTTTTAAAATATCACCATTTGTAAATTCTAATGAAATAGTGGATTTAGGCTATTATTAATACTGGATGCTAAAATCACTCTGTGAGAGGCTGATGGGAAACTCTGAGATGGATCTAAATCTACTGATCAATCTTAATTAAATGAGAAATTATGGGACATCATGTAATATAAGTACACAGCACTGAGTATGCTTATTTAAAAAAAAATGAATCCAAATCTACTGGGACCTCTAGATCTAACTGCAAAATTACAAAGAAGATAAAAGTTGAGTACTCCTATTCTCAAAATGCTGGGGATAAGAAGTGTTTCTGGATTTTAAATTTTTTCAGATTTTGGAATATTTATAAATACATAATAAGATATCTTTAGGATGAGGCTGAAACTTAAAGAGAATTTATTTATTTCATATGCACCTTATACACATAATTTGAAGCAATTTTTTAAAATATTTAACAATTTCTGCAACAAACCAAGTTTCATAGTGTGAAATTTTCCACTTGTGGCATGATGTCAGCACTCAAAAAGTCTGAGATTATGGAGCATTTTGGATTTTCAGCTAAGGAATGCTCAATCTATAGAAGACTGTTAAAAAGAATCCACAAATATCTAACAAACTAAATCTATAATGTGAGAAATTTTATAGGATATATAATTTGGTTTATTCAACAAGTAGATGACATAAGAGAGAAAGGGTAAGATGAAGGGGAGATATTACTATAAATTAAATATCATATAAATCTAATTTAAGACTAAAGACATTAATATATTGTGTGGACCTTATTTGGATATTGATGCAAGCAAAGCCACTATAAGGAATTATTAAGTTCACTGAGTCTTCACTGAGTCTCTTCTTAAAAAAAAAAAAAGTAGAAGGAAAAATATATGTAAAGGTTAGATTACAGGCTCATGATATTCACTATAACCTTCTCTCCTCTTTTGTTTATGTTAAAGACCTGTGTAATAAAAAGATTATAAGTAAACAATGTCTACAAGATAAACTAAATAATCAACTATTTTATGCAAAATTAATTAACTGACCAAACACCTATTGTTTGTAACTGAATATATTTAATGAAGTCCAACAAGTTTTTCAGGGATCTGCAGCTACATGCAAAATTATTCATGCATCTTATTATATCTTTAAGTATAATTATCTAATCTCTCCCTAGATGTTACATTCTCCCATAGGCCAAGAATGCATTTTATTTCTTTAGCATCTATCGAACATTAGTATCAAAGGTACCAAGTTTATGATACAATGAAACTGATTCCTACATATAGTTCTTTCCTTATGCAATTCAAGGGAAGTACCATTCACATTTATGCACAAAGTAAAATAAAAGAGTAAATGACTGGAAGTTGACAAGTTTTACATTCTAAGAGATTTTTAAAAGTTTATGGAAACAAGCAAGACTTTAGAATATGGTAACAATATTAGAAGAAAAGATTCTTACCAAAATCATCTTCAACTCCATCATAAAACTCATTAGATCAGCAGAGTGCTGCATTCTCTAAATCAAAACATTTCTAATTAATTTAATATGTAAATAAATATTCTAATCATCAAAAATGGAATAAAATACAAACTAAAATGAATGTGAAAAAATACTGGCTATGTCTACAACTTAAAGGAATTAAGTAATAAAATAATGGTCATCATTCCTACTATTCTTACCAATTTCATTTTGAAAAAAGTAATTAAATCCCTCAAATCTATTTTAGTGAGACATAATGAATTGTATAAGAATGTCACTTAAAACTTCACATACTCCTCTGCTCACTGCCAAGTTTAGCAAATCTAGCAAATGACATCATTATTTTAAGAAAGAGGAGGAAGAGGGGAGAGAAGGGGAGGAGGGGAGAGAGATGTAAATGGAAAGAACATAAAACATAAAAACCAGACAAATCTACATAACTTTAAATTTTTAATTATTATAAGGACTAACAAGTGTTTATCAACAATATTAAATATTTTTGTCATTTCCTTGACCTTAAAGACCACTTATAGTTATTTTTTGTCCTTTCACAACTAGCCCATATTAATTCAAAAGGAGATAATCATTCAATAAAATAAAAGCTATTATAATAAAATGGCCAAAGGAAATAATCTCTAAAGTAGAATGAATATTTAGGAGTTATGGTTCCATTTCCCTGAAATCTTTCTTTCTCAAAATAGCTATAGAATAAAAAAAAAGAAAGAAAGAAATAAAAAAGAAAAACGAGTTTTACATTGCTTTCTTAGAACTCAACAATCATTTCTGTGCTTCAAAATATTGTATTTTGGGTTTTTGTTGCACTACACTAACTCCACATAGTTCTTAACAAAGTCAAATATAAATCTGGTCTATCTTTTTAGATGAGAATAATAAGAATCTAGGATATTTCAACAATGCATGAAGACATACTTACATCTTAACATAGCTTTGAGCAGACATATGTTCACAGAACATAACTATACCTTTTTTACATGGTATTTCTTTCCTTTAGTTTACTACAGACAAGTAACAAATTACATCAAGGGTCTATAAACTACAGCCAGAAGCTAAATTCAGCTTAATACCTATTTTTGTTAATAAAGTTTTTATAGGAATACAGGCATAAATTCATTTGCCATTCGTCTATGGTTGCTTGGGTGCTATAAGAAGGGGGTAAAGTAATTGTGACGAGATTTATGGTCAACAAATCTAAAGATGTTACTATTATTCTTTACAGAAATAAATCTGTTAACCCCTTGGGCCATATTTACTGAAAATGAGACAAGATAAAAATAATAATATTCAAATGGTCTTTGACTAAAACAAAAACTCAAACTAATACTGAGGTCTACCTGACCAGTTGGAGGGCAGGGAGAGATAAGTAACTGACATGTTTTCTAGAAAATTTGTTGGTCAATTAGTAGAGGAAAACAGAATTGTACATTTTACTGTTATACATAGCTTGATTTAACATTTTTTTCCAGACTACACATCACAATAGATTAATTTCTTAAACTTCAGTGTATACTACAAATTGTCATAGAAATGTGGGGAGGGGCAGTGAAAAAAGGAAATTTAAACATTCCATTAAGAAAAAAAAAACTGCTGTAATTATTCTGCAACTATCACAGCCTATATTCTACAAAGTAAGTAGTTTATCTCCTGTATTTCTTTATGACTCAGTAATGCTTTATGTGAGTGATTCTCATTGTTGGTTATCACACATAACTTGCTTGTACGATAGAAAATATATAGGAAATAGGAAAAATACAAATGGATAAAAGAATCAAAAAATGCAATTCTATTAACATTTATTTTTCTATAAGAGACAATTCATTATTTTTAGTTGCTTCAATAACATTATGGAGTTTTTTGTTTGTTTATTGGTAGGTGTTTTTTTTTTTTTTTTTTTTTTTTGCTTTGTTTTGTTTTGTTTAAGTTTCTCTGATTATTCAAGGAATTTTCAGGTACAGGACCATATACATTAAGAATAACTAAATTAATCCTGCCTGTATCTCACCTTGGCTACCATTTCTCCTCTCATTATGCAAGTACACCTGATCCTAAGTGATTTCTCTCACACCTTTTCTGTTGCTATTCTAGAGCTAAAAGATTCATTTTTGTTATAGATATGCTACAGCGCTAAATGGGCCCAGGGTTTTTTGTTTTGTTTTGTTTTTGCTTTGTTTTGTATTTTTCCTGTCACCACTATTCAGTCTCAGGAGAAAAAAAAAACAAAAACAAAAAAACATCACCAAGAAAGCTACAAACATGAATAGGGGTGAATCCATTTGAAGGGCCTAATGGCTCAAGGATGAAAATCAGTTTCAACAACACAAATGCTACCTGGGAATCCGCTGAGGATTCCAGAAACCCTTTTTTTTTTTTTTTTTTTTTTTTTTGTAGTTATAGATGGACAGCATATCTTTATTTTATTTGTTTATTTTTATGTAGTGCTGAGGATCAAACCCAGTGTTTCACACATGCTAGGCAAGCACTCTGCCACTGAGCTACAGCCCCAGTCTTCCAGAAACCATTTTGTGTAATCTATAGATCCTTAAAATATTTCATAGCCAGAGATGGAACCTAAAAACTTTAGCAACTATGAAACCACTTTGTTATAACATTCTGCAAAGCAGGATTTTTTTCCATGCTATTTAATTGGTGTATTCTAGTTGTACACAATGGTGGGATTGTTACATATTTGTATATGAACACAATATAATAATATAATTTAGCAAATATTATTCCTCAGTATTTCCCCTTTCCCTCCCCCTGGTTCCTTTCCTATACTGATCTCCCTTTGATTTTCATGAGATCTCTCCACCCACCCACTTTTATTTTCCTTTTTCCTCTCTAGCTTCCACATAAGAAAGAAAATATATAACCCTTGACCTTCTGAATTCGGCTTATTTTGCTTAACATTACACTCTTAAGTACTATTCATGTTCCTACAAATGACATAATTTCCTTCTTCTTTATGGCTAAATAAAACTACGCTGTTTATAATATATACCACATTTTCTTTATCCTTTCATCCACTGATGGGTCACCTAGGCTTGTTGCATAGTTTGGCCATTGTGAATTGTGCTGCTATGAATATGGGTATGCATGTATTGCTTTAGTACACTGACTTTAACTCTTTAGGATAAATACGAAGGAGTGGTATAGCTGAGTCATATGGTGGTTCCATTCCTAGTCTTTGAGGAATCTCCATACTGATTTCTATAGTGATATACTAACTTAAAATCCCACCAACAGTGTAAAATTATTCCATTTTTCTTCACACCGTCTCTAGCATTTATTATTGTTTGCATTCTTGATGACTGCCATTCTGAATTGAGTGAGCTAAAATCTCAGTGTAGTACAAAGCAGGGCTTTAAAAAGTAAATTTAATACTTTCTTATCCTCATTTAAAGCATAAACCTTTAAAAGACTTACCTGTTGGACTATTTGATGATATCCATTAAGTATAGCTTTCAACTGCCAACTGCATAGTAATCTAAAATTTTAACAAAACAAAATGGTTTTATTCATTGTTCAGAATTAAAATAAGAAAATTTATTTGTATGTTAACACAAACATGCACATATGATCAAAAAAATGACATAAACATAATTCTGACAAGTTAATAAAATTTTACCACTTATACTGTTGAAAGTCTTGTCTTCAAATTGTCAGTATTAATTTTACTTCGAAATATAAATAACCACAATCAATAAATGACAGGCAAACAGTACATCTTTTTAACTTTAAATTACCCAAAGCAAAGTTTACTATTGCACTCAATTCTTAAAGGTAGGTTAAATAAAACCAAAGGTTTTGAGTACATCAAAATTGTATTTAAAAAAACATATACAGCACTATATTCTTATTCAACTTCCAGATTAATGTAACCAAAAGAATACATACTTTGAACTGTATAAGTAGTGATAAGTTAAAATTCATCTATCTACTAGGCTTACCTCACCTGCAGGTAAGTAATTTCTCTAAGGAATTATATTAACTTGCCTTCAACTTTTAAATCCTGTAGGGACCCCATCTCCTTATGCAGAGCAGTTTATTCAACTGTCTATGGATAACATCCTCTCCAAGTATGCACTGGATTCCTTGCTACTACCTTGGTCACTTCATTAATTATCTTTTTACCTGTGATAGCCTTAACTTACTCTCTGCAAGTTTTTCTCCTTAATGAATTAAGTATATATCATCTTGAAAAAAATCATAGCTCTTCCTTAAATGCACATGCCTTCCCTTTTCCTTAAAGTAGTTTATATTTTCCATTCCCTTTCTACCCACTCATCCAGTCAAAACCCCAACAACCCAGTTTCTTCGACTGCACAAATCTATTCATATCTAACCTCATCTTTGCAACACTCAGCATGGCTAACCATTCCTTCTTTCAATCCCTATTTAAAACCTACTGTTCAAATTTTCCTCTTTTTTTGCCAATCCTAGTCTTATAAATTCTATAAATCCCTCCCTTAAGATCCCATCACTGGCCTTCTCTTTTCACCCCACAGACACAGAAACTAGAAAATCTATTAATACTGACGGCTTCAACTTCTATGCCAACTGTGATTTTCACATATAACTTCACTCCAAATCTCTCACTCAGATTCCACACCAATATACTACTACTACTTACTAAATAGCTACTTCTGATGTTTTACTCTCAATATATTCCTAAAAACAATCTCCCTTCCACTTTTCCATCTGTGATCTCTTCATAAGCTTAATAATCTGAGCCAAGAACTTGGAAAGTATCCTCTAATCTCTTTCCCTCTTACTGCCACTTCCAATCACAAAATCCTATCAAATCTACACATAAATATCTCTGGATTCCTCCACTCTACTCCAGAGATATTTAGGAGCAGAACTGAGATTTGTGACAATGCCTAAATACCTAGTCTCATCTTCTGACTAGTCGTCTGTACCACCTGTCCCTATTTATACATAATTTATAACAGAACTAAACTAGATTTTTGTCACATTATATTATTATATTACATATAAATACTCAGTCCAAAGTTGGGGGGAGGGATTTCTAATCCTTTTAAACTTCTATTCAGTTCTTATTAGGGAAGTATACACAATTATTGTTTACTGCTTTAAAAAAAATGTATTACCTCTGAAAAGCACTTAAGTAGCAAGGAAATTACTTACAAATGCCACTGGTTTCAAACAATCAGAAATGTTTTAGGTTTATTGATAGGATTCATTAATAAACATATTAGACAAAACTCTAGTCACCAGAATCAGTTTAAACACACTTGCCTATTCCACCAAGATACAAGCATGTCACTAAACATCACATCACCTTGCATTCTTCACTTGTAAATCTTCAGGCAACACTATTCTAAGGTGGAAGTCTTTCCCCTATAGAGAAAATGTAAAAAAAAAAAAAAATCACTCAAAGTTTCATCTTTTACTTAATGCTAAGAGAAGTTAAACATAGAATCACAAAAAAGGCAGTATTTTCCAAAAGTTATCAAATTTACCCAAATTTTTTATACTTAAAAAATATAAGCAACGGAATACAGGATTTTGGGGGAAATATTTCATAAATGTATGTCAAAAACTTTGGAAATATTACAAAATCAAAATCATATATACTTGGACCTTGTTTTTAGATAAAGTAACTTATATACAAGAAATTCAACCTCAACACTGTTAGCAGACATATAAAGGAAATTTAAATGTTCTTAGGAAATAAACAAATTCCCTCAGGTTGCTCATGATTGCACTTACTTTCTAAATTTTCATAAATATATTACACAATTTAAATATTTCAACATAAAATACTTCCATAAACTGGAGTATATTTAATTTTTCCATACTAGTAAACCTTTAATAGATAAAAGCAGAAACATATTGTTTATTTTAATCTAAGTATTCACAAACTTACATATTTGAATATACAGAATTTTATTCAAGTTTCTTTTTAAGGAAAGGGAAGAGTGTTCTCTGGGAAATATATTCAGTTTTACTTTCTTTAGAAAGTGAATGGGTAAGCAGTTTAAACTTTATAACTTAAATAGGATAATACATGTGAAATTTGAGAAAAAAATAAGCAGAAAAAGACAAACAGAAATGTAATCTTTTGCTTCAACAGTATAAAATGAAAAGAGTAATAAAATTCTCAAAAAAAAAAAAGAAAAAACAATTACCATGTGGAATTTTAGCAGTCTCCCTCAAAGCAGATTCAAAAACAGAAGAACACAATTAAATGTACCCCATAACCTTTACTTTCATGGTAATATTACAGTTCTGACTTTCATTACATTTAAATGTCCTTTTGAAAAAATGAAACAAAATGTACTACTGACCTTTTCAAAGGTCAAGTAACAATAATTCACTATTTCATTAAAACACTAAAAGGTATTATGTAGCAACTTTAACCTAACTTTATAGACATCCCACACATAGGTGTAAGAACCTATGTTCACAATTCACAATTTACCTGAGGAACAGTATAAGAATAAAATTCCAAAGTTCCCTATTTGTGAAATCGAACTATTTTAGAGGTCAAATGACGTGTCACATACCACAATACTTTTCTGGTTCAAAAAAATGTCCAAATTTAGACTTTTTGTAGTTAAACCACCTGAAAAAATATTAACTCTTCCCCAAAAGCAGATTTTCCAAGCTTACGAGGAACAGAAGATTAATGTGAACACAAAAGTCAAAGAAACAGTCTTGTAGAGGAAATGATTTAAAAGCAGAAGACAGTAAAAAGGTAGGTAAAAAACACCTTTTGGAAACTGGGTATTAGGAAGAAAAAAAGACTGGAAAACTTAAGCTCTTATATGAGAAAAAAAGAACATAATACTCCCCTCAAAAGTTCCCCCCCAAAACCATCCATTAAACAAACTGCATTTTTTTCTTTACCAGTAAATAGTGTATTATTGAACTAGGAATTTTATAACTATTGTACATAGTCAAAATGTTTAACAAATAATGTTTCCATCAATCCTTTAAAGTTACCATGAAACAAAAGCAGAAAATGAAGATCAAACATTTCAGATGACAGACCCAGGAGAAAACCCAGACTAAGATCAGAAAGTGTTTTTTTCTTAAAGTAGGAATGAATGAGCTATTAAAATGGGAGAATAAATTTAAAAGTGTCCAAGGAAAAAAGTTAAATAAAAATTTCATAAGGAGTAAGAAAAAGCAAGAAAATTACCAAATGAGAAAAAAAAATAAAGGCCATCAAAGAAAAAGGGTTGAAGATGAAATCAGGCAAAGAAAGTCCAAATGCATATAATTGGAAGACTTAGAGAAGAAGACAGGAGGAAAAAATATTTAAAATTATAATCCAAGTATACTTTCTGGAAATCCACATAACAAAAGCGACAACTAGACACAAGAAAAATGACTCAGAATGATCCACTCTGAGATATATCTTAATAAAGACTTTTAAAATAAGGAAAAAGTTCAGTCTTTCTAGGAAAAAGGTCAAAACACTTACATGGGCAACAAAATAAGATTGTTATCAGTCATCTCAAAGCAAGATTAAAAAAATTAAAAAGAATGAAACTAAAATTTTAAGAAACTAAAGTGTTTCTGCTTTTAGGCAGGATGAAGTAACGGAGGCGGGATTTACCTAGTCTACCTTAATTTAAAAACAGGACTAAAAATATGTAAATATGGTTTTCAGACATTAAACAATAGGCAGCACAGGACATTGTTCCTTGAAAGAAGAAAACAAATTAAAAATCCTTATAATTGGCCAGCCTTACTCCCTGAAAAATATTTAGGCCACAGGTAAGGATGAGGAAACAAACAGCTAAACAGCCTCCCTAATCTGAGAAGAGAGGTTAAGTTAGAGGAGGCCAAAGCATGTAGAATTCACAAGATAATTAAGTACCAACAAGAAGAGAGATGCAAAGAGAGGGACAAGCACACACAGAGAAAACTCCCATGTACTTCAGAGAATTTCTTATGTGGGAGACTTCAGCATGGATGTGAGAAAACCATTTAAACTGAGAACCATAAGAAAAGGTGATGTAAGTATTCTAGGAAATACTGTATAAGCAGAATATGCAGAAAGGTATTGCCTCACTGGCATAGCCAAATTAAACTAAATTCTGTTCTGGTTTTGCCTAAAAAAGCTTAAAAGCAAATCTTGAAAAGATTAAACTCTTTCCAAGTAATTTAACTGTAATGCACAACAAATCTCAAGAATATTTAGAAAACAAAAGCATCTAGCATGCACCAGGTAGATGTCATATCCGACACCAATTAAGATATATTAGGTATGCAAGGAAGAAAAAATAAGAACCATAATGAGGAGAAAAATCAAGAGAAGCAGACACAAAAATAGCACAGATGATAGAACTGGTCAAAAATAAAACAGTTTTATTTCATATGTTGAAGAAGAAAGAGGAAAGCATGATCACACTACATAGAGGCAGGAAAGATATAAAAAACCTGAATTAATGAAATGAAAAAATACAACATCTGAGATGAAAAATATGCAAAATGGTATAAACAGCACATGAAACCACGTAAAAGATATTAGTTTACTTGGAGACATAGCAACAAAATATATCCAAAATAAAACAGGAAGAGATGGAAGGGAAAAAAATGGGACCAGCCCCACTTGGAACTTAAAGTGGCTTAATAGGCACATAAGTATTGGAAGTCCCCAACACATGAGAGAGGAAGGAACAAATTTCTAAAGAAATAACAGCTAATGTTTTTTTTTCCAAATTAAATGAAAATATAAACTCACAGATCAAAGAAGTTCCATAAGCCATATTGGGAAAAAACAGAAAGAAAATTACATCAAGATACAACACAAATTAGCTGAAACCAGTGATAAAAATCAGAGGAAGACAAAATACAACAATAAATAGAGGACAAAGCTAAGAGCACAGACTTCTCATAGGAAGAGTGCAAGGCTTAGTGAAACATCTTTATAGTACCAAATCAAAAAAGAAAAAGAAAAAAACCTGTTAACTAGATTCTACACCCAGTGAAATTATCTTATAAAGGCCAAATAAGCACATTTTTCAACATAAAACAGCTAAAAGAATCCATCAGTAGCAGACATGTACTATCCTGAAATGTTAACAGAAGACCTTCAGGAACAAAGAAAATAAGATACAAATGTGAATATATAATAAAAAATACTAGATACAGCAAATATATAGGTAAAGATATAAGATCTTTTATTTAAAAAATATATTTTTAGAGGATAATGACTTAAAAAAAGGGGGAGGGACTGACTGTTGCAAAGCAATTTGAGCAATGAAATAGTATTAGTTTATAAACCAAAATATAAAATAAGTGCCCATAAATCATACTTGTGTAAATAAATAATTTAATGAATAAATAAGGGAGAATAAACAAATTTCCCATGCAGCATTTCAGATTAATCATAAAAGAGAAACTAATTCCCACTCTTTAAGCTGGGACTGCTTATAGTTACTTCTTTTCAGAGAGTATAATATTAAAAAGGGAGAAAACAGTGACTGCAGTGAAGAAGCCTGACAAATACTACATCAGCAAAATGATCAAGGCCAGGATCAATCATCATCAGTGATATTAATTGACTGTACCCTTAATAAAATGAAATGATACTTTAACTCTGTGATCTTCCTCTTAAAAACCTATAACCCTAACTCAGGAGAAATATCAACCAAATTCCAATAAATGAATATCCTATGATAAATCTAACTTGTACTTCCTCAAAAAATCAAGCCATTTCATATTCATAAAAGAGTCAAGGTCATCAAGAACATGAAAAGCCTGAGGAAATGTCATAGCCAATAGAAGCCTAAGGAGATATGATAACTAAATGTAAGGTGGTATCTTAGGTGGGATCCCAGGAGAGGGGGAAAAAATTAGGTAAAGGTAAGGAAATCTTAATGAAGTATGAAATTAAATTAATAAATGTATAAATATTTTTAACATCAACCAAATCATTAATTATAACAAACACACCATACTAATATGAAGATGTTAATAATAACAGAGGGCTGGGGATGTAGTTCAGGGATACAGCACTTGCCTAGCACACTCAATGCCCTGGGTTTGAGTTCCAGGACCAAAATAAAGAAATAATAGGAGAAACTATGTGGAAAAGGCAATGGGGATAGAAATGCAGTATCACCAGTTCAAGTCTCCTTTAAATCTAAAACTATTTTTAGTTTATTAATTAAAATAATCATCTAAACCAAAATTAATAACCACATTGGTTGGGCTGGGGATATAGCTCAGTTGGTAGAATGCTTGCCTTTTATGCACAAGGCCCTGGGTTCAATCCCTAGCAACACACACGCGCACACACACACACACAATAACCACATTGGTGGGATTATAAGAGAAAGTATGTGACAATAGCACAAGGACCAGCAGATAAGAAATGAAACTATACTGTCGTATGATACTGGGCTGGTGGTGTGGCTCAGCGGTAGAGTGCTTGCCTAGCACGTGTGAGACACTGGATTCGATTCTCAGCACTGCATATAAATAAATAAACAAAATAAAGGTCCATCAACAACTGAAAATATATATTTTTTAAAAAAGTACACTGTCACGAGATTCCTTAGGGAAGTGGTATACATGAAAGCAGATAGTGATAAATTAAAAGATGCATACTGTGAGCCCTAAAGAAAACACACACAAAGAATGAGGGATAAAATCATATAGCTAATAAATCAATTTTGCATATAAAATAGAATCCTAATATTACTTTAAGGTAGATCATGACAGTTTTAAGATATATACTATAAACTTTTAAGCAGCTACTTACAAAAACAAAAAACAAATACTTCTAGGCTTTGGTAAGTCCCCTGAAATTCTTGTGTTGGAAAGTTAATCCCCTAAATCATATATTAATAGCCTATGGGAGATAATTAACAATTACAAGAGGCCAAGAGAATTGAGCCCATATGATGCCATTAGTGACTTGATAAGAAGAGCAACAGAGACCCAAGCCAGCAATCTTGCTCTTCACACCATGTGAAGTTCTCTATCATGTAAAGATGCAACAAGTAGGCCTTAGCCAAAGGTGATAAGAGGCCAGCATCATGCTCCTGACTTCTCAGCCTCCAGAACTATTAGTTAAACAAACAGCATTCTTTATAAATTATCCAGTCTGCAGTACAAAGTTGTAGCAACAGAAAACAGTCTGACAAACATATAGTAAAAAAGCTAACAAAGGAGATGAAACAGAATCATAAAAAGAACGTGCATGTAAAATGTAAATGCAGAAAAATAAGGAATGTAAAATGCAGGAATATAAAAAAAATAAGGAATGTAAAATGCAGAAAAATAAGGAAAAAATAAAGAACACATTAGACAAAAAGAAAACAGCAAAACAGAATATTTAAATCCAACCATATCAAAAATCACATTAAATGTAAATGGTCTAAGCATGCCCAAGTAAAAGGCAATGATTGTTAGACTCCGTAAAAAAGCAAAGTCCAGAAAGAAACTCACTGTAAAGATCCAAATAAGTTTAAAGTATGGAAAGAGAAACTAAACCAAAGAAAGCTGGCATCACTATATTTGTATCAGAAAATACAGATTTCAAAGAAAAGATTATTAGGAATAAAAAGGGTCATTTCATAATTATAAAGAAATCAATTTTCCAAGAGTTTATGCCCCTAAAAGTTTATGTAAATAATAACAAAACTTCAAATTATGTGAAGGACAAACTAATAAAAATGAAAGCAGAAACTGAAAAACTGAACAGGAGAAGAAAAGTGAAGGTACTAAGAAACAAAACTGACAATAGTACACTTTTCTATTGTATGCATGTACAAATACATTACCAAGAAATCCCACTATTATGAATGATTATAATGTACCAATAAAAATTTTTAAAGTAAAATAAGAAAACTTACTAGTTGGAGATTTTAACACCCCCTCACTAACTGATAGAACAAGTAACACACAAAAATAAGGGTATAGAAAAACTCTAATAGTATTATAAATCAACTTGATCTAACTCATATTTATAGAAAACCCCATCCAATGGCAACATATTTTTTTTTCAAGTATAAACAGAATATATACCAAAAGAGACAAGATTCTGGGCCATAAAATAAGTCTCAGTAAATTTAAGGGTTAAAATCATACAAGTTTGCTCTATAGCTAATACAATATTAAATTATAAGTCAATAACACAAAGGTATCTGAATAAACCTGTATCCAGATGCCCAGAGAAAAATAGATAAGGCACAAATTACCAATAGAAGGAAATAGAACAAAAAAGCATTTTAAAAAATATATCCATGAATTATCTGACGACTTCTACCTTTAGGAGTTGGTGCCTGATGTCATTCCTTTTGAATATGGACTGTACTTGAAGACTTGCTTCTAACAAATAGAATAAAATACAGGTAAAATCGTGTGACTTAAGAGGCTAAGGAAAAAAGATAATGTGCAGCTTTCTGCTTGTTCTTTTATCACTCACTCTGAGATGCTAGCTGCTATGCTGTGATGACAGTCAAGCAATATTATGCAGGTCCATGTGATGCGAACATGAGGCTCCCTGTCAAAAGCAGAAGACTCAAGCCACTAGCTGTATGTATGAATAATCTCGGAAGCAAATCCTCAAACTATTCAACCTTTGAATAATCAAAGTCATCATCTTGGCAAACAACTTTATTGCAAGTTCGTGACAGACTCAATCAAGATTTACCAATTAAATCGATCCCAAATTCATGATCCACTAAAACAGAGATGATTAGTGTTTGTAATTTTAAACCACTAAGGTTTGGAATCATCATACTGCAAAAGATAACCAATAAAAGAAGTATCATCACAGATGCTAAGGACAATAAGGGACTATTATAAAAAATTTTAAGCTCACAAATTTAAAAACCAAAATGAAATGAACAAATTCCTTGATGAACACAAACTACCAAAACTCATTCAAGAGATAAGAATCTAATAGTAGAAACTTTCACCAAAAATTTTTTAAAACTTTCTAGTAAACAACTCAGGGGTTCAAAGGAACTACAAATAGAAATTCCATAACTTCTAAAAAAAAATGATGATGAGAAACACTACATGTCAGTATGTATAAGGACAACATCTACAAACTACTATACTGGATAAATGTTTGTGAGGGGTGTCCAGCACCTGGAGTGCCGATTTCTCCCAGGCTAGTGGCCAAGTAAAATAGGGCAACATGAAAATAGGAAGTTTATCTACATTGAACTCTTTTGTAGAGACTCTTTTGCTGACAGTCCTAAAATCAGCCATGGTGAAGATTTCTGGAGAAGCCCAGTTAAGATTTTTTTGTGTGTGTGGAGGAGGGGTGCCACTACAACATGACAAATTTAATTCAAGATTTTACATCAGAATAATGGGGAATGAAGGAAGTATAAAGTATGCAATTATACATACCATTAACAATATTTAAATATGGACTCTAGGTTAGAAAAGGTATTATACCATAATTAAATGTCCTGCTTTTAGTAAATGTACTATGGTTATGTATAAATGTATCCCTGTTTTTATGAAGTGTATGCTTAAGTATTTAGGGATAACAAGAGAGTGTGTCTATGGTTTAATTTCAAATGGTTCAGGAAAATAATGAGTACATATGCTCCCACAAACACATTCCACACTCAAGAATAAATCAAAGGGGGTCAAATGTAAACTGATGAATTTTAATAAATATACTAGAATTCTTTGGTCACCCTTGCTACTTCTCTATAAATATGAAATATGCAGAAAACATTTTTAGACAAATAATGTTTAGATTGATATAAACAAGCTGCTTAAACTGGGAGCTTTGGCCCACACCTTTAACTCCAGCTATTCAGAAGGCTGAGACAAAAGGATTGCAAGTTCAAGATCACTTAGGCAATTTAGGAGGACTCTGTTTCAAAATAAAATTTAAAAAGGGCTAGGGAATGTAGCTCAGTGGTGAAGTGCAGGCCTAGCATGCAAGAGACCCTGGATTCAATCCCCAGTAGTCCTAAGTAAAAAAAAAAAAAAAAATATGAAAGCTATTTAAGGAAGGTACAAATTAGAATTGTAACTTTGGGCAAAGGTCATTAAAAATTTCATCCAATTCTGATAGCTGCAACTTTTCTAAAGGATGTTAGCAGATGCAGACACATATATAAAGTATTTCCCTCAAAAACTGCCTAAAACTAGGTGTAACAGGATTCCTTTAAAAAAATAATAATAACTTAATGCTACTTTTTCAACTTTTCTAACCACTGTATGAAATCAAGTAGTATTTTTTTAACTAGGTAATTCAACAATTGAGGAAGGAACGGTAGGTTTTTCTTCCATATGTAATAATGAATTTTAATCTTTACTTTCTGTGATGGTCACATGAATTAGAAAGTAAATATAATCTTTCACTAATCACAGAACATTCTGATTAATTTCATCTTCTGAAACTCCTTGGGACAATTTTCATTTAGCAAGTGGATTTGATAATGCACTTAATATTTTTGAGACATAAAGTAATTGCTAAGATATCATCCCTCTCCTTAAACAGTTACGTATGCTGTGCTGGCTGGGAGGAGTGAAGGGGACAGGAATGAGTGTCATGTTCAGAGAGGAAAAGTCCATACTCAAAATCCTAACCTAAGATATCTTCCTACAACGTGAAAGGAAAATATCCGGGATTGGATCAGCCTGAGTTTAAGGGAAGGTGATGCAAGATTGTGGACAAGTTTTTCAACTTGTCTCCCCTGATCTGATTTCCTCAACTATCAAAACCAGAATATTTTTCTGCCACAGGGCTGAGGCTTGAGATACTATGCCTGGAAAACACTCTACAAACTTCAAGACCTTGCACGTGTTACTAGTGTAATGAACTCCGTATGAGAATGCTATCGGTACAGGTAATTAATTCCGTTGTTATTAAGATTTCCTACAAAACCTCGCAACTAGAGGTGCTCAGGTTCCCCGGATTCGGCAGAGGAACAAACTGAGGTTTCCCCCCCCCCAAAGCAACACAAATAGCGGGGGCTTGCGGGTGACCAGCACCGAACCGAAGGGGGACGCCGCCTGGCGAAGGAAGGCGGCGAGAGTCCGGCTTCAGGGAGCCGCTGTCCCCCCAGCGTCTGGGACCCGTCCCGCGCTGTCCCGCTGCATCCCCTCCGGACCGGGTCGCTAACGCCCGCCCGTCGCAGACTCCGGAGCCCGGGACGCCACGCTGGAGGCTCTTTTAGCGAGAGTGCAACAACTGGGCGAGTACCTGAGCCGAAATGAATCCCTCATACACAGTTTTCGCCCGGTTCTGGGGCAGAAACAGCGGGAACTGGCGCAACAGAGTCCCCTCCGTTCCCGCCATTGCGCCACAACGCCGAGCATGCGCAGTTCCGCCGGCGCCCGCTGGCCCCGGTCCCCGCAGCCAGTTTGGCGGGAAGAGCTGGGCTTCAAGGGCGGAAGTGAGCATCCAGGCCCCTGAGCCCCATCTGAGCGCCTGGAAGAAGGCTCTCAGGCCGCAGGTCCGGCCGCTGGGGATCCTTCTAGTCTTGATTGTTCAAAGAAGCTTTTGGTGATTTTATTTGCTTTTATTGAAAGACTGCTACAACTTCTGGGTTGCATTTCCTCCAGCACTGATGGATTTTACAGCCTGCATGTTGGACCAGTTAATGCACTCCCCTTCTTCGCTGTTGTTCTCATTCAAGAGTGTCACCTATATGCCCTCAGCATGCACTATCACTTATTCTGTATATAATAATCAATATATTATAATACATTCAAAATATCACGTACATTGCAGTATAGTTCTATGCTTTACCATTTTTAATCAGATATTATATTTGAGAGACACATATAAATTGCTGAAAATTCGAGTCGACCTCTATCCAACTCAGGTTTTGGTGTACTACAAATGCAAACACATAAGCCAAAACATAAAGAAGTTTGCTGATAGATAAACTTAATTTTTCTCTGACAGCCCTTCCTATAGGTTTTTGTTGTTGTTGTTTTGTTTTGTTTTTTGTTTTGTTTTGATTTTTCTCCTAACTCAGGAATGGGATCTATTCCTTTTTACTAAGGGCTGATTAAATAAGAAACTTATTAATATTTACCATATAGCTATTTGATATTCCTATTAGTAGTCAATGCATCACATTTTCGAATCCTGCTGTGTGTCAAACATCATTATAATATGCCAATGGTTGTGCAAAGATAAATAAAATACACCCCTTCCATCTGTACTGCCCTCAAATGAAATTGGACTTTGGAAGATTCTTTTTCATTTTCAGTACCTCAACCCTCACCACCACCAGGCTTCCCTGATGGAAATTCTACCCTTTATTCAACGTCATTCTCAAATGCCACCTCTTTTTGGAACTCTTTCTTATCTTCTGAAAGGTATTGCTCTATATATGTGTTAGGTCCTTAGGCCAAAGTAACTCCATTTTGAAAATCAGCATCTGCCCACCCAGGCATGACTTTTGCTTAGGCCCACCCCAAGAGAGTCCCTAACTGCAGAAACCACAGCAAAGATGCAAAATAATAATCACGGGATCAGATGGTTATTTTTTAACTACTCTATTGTACATTACTATGTAGTTAAGTTTTTCCAGCAGGTTGCTGCGCCTTGCAGAAGGGCAGTCTGGCAGATATTCTCTGTCAATAAACCTTTGCTAGAACTCAGAGATGTGCCTCTCATAGATATTTGCGCAGCTACCCTAACAATATGGTTTCTTTCTTAGTCCCTGATGATTGTATTTCTTGTATTACAAACTTTATCAATAGGAAATGCTCATTTACAAATTCAACTACCATAAATAGTGATTTGGCTACATTTTGCTTAAGAACTAACATGATATCTAGTAAATTTTCTGGGAATTTCTGAGTTGAATAAGTTAATTGTGAGGATTCAGAGGCAAAGACCCAATGTTTTTTGGCAATTATCTACATTGAAAAGAGTGAGATGTAAGATTACAGGGAAAAGATTGCTTTCTAGAAGGTTGCCTCTCACCATACACCAAAATCTTGAACTTGACTCTTGATCCTAGGTTTCCAAGTGTGTGTAATTGTGCGAAATAAATTTCTGTTCTTTATAAATGCTTCAGTTTATGACATTTTTCTTACAACATCCTGAATAGACTAAAATGACAAATGGCAAATAACATTTAACATTTAGCAAATGGTGAATGAGCACCTACAATGCACTAGGCAAGAAACTATATGAAGACTTACAGATTTAATGATTCGACCATTACCCTAAGGTTTTCAATACGAAGTGGTGGACACTCATTATCATCATCAATTCATACATGGTATGCTGGCATCATTATTTACAAAAAGCCCAATAAAAATCAACTACAGAAAATACTCACTAATTTAAAGATCAGCCAAGGAACTACTGTTACCATCATGATAACATGATTTCAAAATTGAAATCTCTGACCAATAATATGAGGATCATATTATTGAAATCACCAAATTTCAAGCTCTTCAAGGCATCCTTAGGCATGATTTCTTTAATACACTATGCCACAAAAGATAGTAGTATTTAAATGTCATTAACTGTGGGAAAATATATTACGTCATGGAAAAATCTCAAAACTTTTTTTTTTTTTTTTTTTTTGCAGGGTGGGGGCACTGGGATTGAACTCAAGGGCACTCAACCCCTGAGCCACATCCCCAGCCCTATTTTTTGTATTTTATTTAGAGACAGGGTCTCACTGAGCTGCTTAGCACCTCACTTTTGCTGAGGCTGGCTTTGAATTTCCAATCCTCCTGCCTGAGCCTCCCTGAGCCATTTTGATGAAAGAAAAGCACAAGTTCTGTCATGGTTTGTTTACTATTCTAACATTTATGTTAACATAAGAAAACATACTGTGTTGCTAGTAGTGGTTATATTTGGGAGGGAAATAAGTTACAAAGAATAAGCATAATAGCCAGAGGAGACTTTCATCTGTTACATTTAATTTTCTTAGTTTAAGCATTTGATACCATTGGGAAAACAAGATTTAAAAGGAGGAGGGGGAGGGGGAGGAGGAGGAGAAAAGTAAAGCAGGTCAGTGGATCAGTGGAGAGGAACTGTGGACACCTTTGTTTCCACAACTCCAAACTCTTTCTTAGATCATCTTCAGTTAGCCTAGTTGCATCTTATACTTTCTTCTACTTGGAAATTTTCTTCAGGATTTAGTTGATCTTGATCTCATCAAATCTCAAATACAGAAATTCAGATCCCTGTATGGTTTTCCTGAGTTCCAGCTTTACATGGCAACAAGGGTTTATCTTTGAGACAAGGGCCTTAATGTACCATCGCCTCTTCATCTCAGGCCCCAAAGTCTGTTGTCTCAACAGCTATTGTTCAAGAAGCTCTCTTAGATTTCTGTCTTGTGGCTCTTTCAGAATTTAGAATTGACAGCAACTTGGTCAGATGTGTTCCCGCCTTGCTTTTGGGTTTCAGCAAGCAAGAATATCTCCAGATAATTGAAATCTACGTTTGCATATGCAGACAACTTAAGAATCCTGGCATCTTCATCAGAAAGGTACAGAACTCCTCCAGGGAACCCTCTAGATAGAGTTGGCTCCATAACAGCTCCTCCATGATGTCTGGTGGTACTCAGGCTTGCACTTCTTGAGCTTTCGGGAGAAGCTTAGTCTGCAAAGGCCCTGCACCTGCCTATGGCTGAGTACTGCCTATTTTAAAGGAAAATTATTAGTGTTAAAATTTCTTTTTTTTAAGACAAATTTTAATTTCACAGGTGTACTAAAATTAATTTGTATTTTGTTGCTTAACTGAAGTGAATATGACCTACATAAAAATAAAGAATAGAAATCAGATATATTGGTAACATTTATAGGAAGCAATAAAAATCAATTTTCAACATCTATACAGTAAAGAAATATGCTTTGAATAAAGTAAGAAAGCAAAGAAATTACACTTTTCATCCTAAAATGTCCTTCAGTTTTGAAAAATAAATAAGATTTGGTTGTGTCCTAAGCCATGCCTTTACAGACTCCTTTGTTGATACTAAGTACTCCTTTGTTGATACTTACTAAAACATATCTATGGACAAATTAAATAAGTAACAAATTATCTGTAATAAAAAAATGTTTTATTTTATAAATTTTTGACAAATAGTTAAATTAACAAGAGTGAATTGAATTTTGTTCTAGAATTCAAAAATGATTGTATACATATATATTTTTAAATTAAAAATTCAATTATCTTTATAAAAATTTAGCAAGACTGGGCTGGGATTGTGGCTCAGTGGTAGAGTGCTTGCCTGACATTTGTGAGACACTGGGTTCTTGATTCTTAGCACCACATATAAATAAATAAAACAAGGTCTATCAACAACTAAAAAATTTTAGCAAATAACTTATGCTTTTTAAAATCTTAAACATAAATAGTCAATATTAGCAAGTCTATGGAGAAACAAATATAATCATACATTGCTGATAGTTATTTGTAATGGTAAATGCTTTTAAAAAGCAATCTACTTATAAACATAAAATTTAAAAGTGGTGTTCTTTTGTTATTTGTTTTTTAGTAAATACCACTTATGGGAGTATATCAGCCCCCCACCCAAATAGGTGCAGAACTCTTTATGGAAATAGGAGACAATCAAATTTTCAATAAGCTAGAAATGGTTAAGTTACAGTAACATGATTGAAAGTCTAAAAGACATTTAAATTGTATGTATATGTACAATAGTGGTCCATAAAAATATATACAAAATATGATTTGTGAAAAGAGAAAAACAATGTCAAGATGAAGAGAAGATGATATAATTAGCTAATTAAAAAAAATAAAGGGTCTTTCACTTTTCCATGTAAAACAAATTACTTAACAGTACTATAAATTTTTAAAAATAAAGCATTAGCAAAGATTCCTAGAAATGTAAATGCTGTCATGTTTCAAATCATCTATTGAGTTGTAGAAAACACTTACAATGAAATGCTTCACAATTTTTTCTAAATATATGTTGGGAGTTTATTGCACTCCGGTAAGTATATATCAAACTCACTCCCTCTAAAGACAATATAGAATTTGAAGACACAAAACATTCTTATTTTGAACACTTCAGGCCTAATGCATACAATTATACTACAATTGTAATGTACAATTCTGTAAATTTTGACCAACATATACATTCAATTGTAATTTCGATAGTTATCGCTAGATTACCCTCTTGAGAAGTTGTACCAGTTCAAGTTGTACCAGTCCACTTTCTCACAACAATTTATGAGCCTTTCTACAGCCTTGCCAATTCAGATGTGTCATCAAACTCTTTGATCTTTACCAATCTGTTGGTGAAAGTATAATTGCATTATCATTTAAAAGTCCATTTCTCTTATTATGGTAAAGGTGAAACTAT